CTCTCTCTCTCGTTTTCTAAAGCCGTTCCGCATCCCGAGCCCGACGATCACGAGCCGTTGATCGTTTTTAGACTCTATCTACTCCCGCTACTAAAGTGAGTGCATATTTATTTTCATCTTATGTATAGATATGAAGTATATTATATAAATTACATGCTATGTGTGCATATTGTCTGTATACTAGTTATCTATGTTAGACGAACACTATTATAAATGTTTTAAATGATTTAAACTATATATGTATTTTATATCTACAAATATGTTAAGGTAAAACATGGGTAGATGAAATAGTTGGTGTGTGATGAAATAAAATGATGAGAGGCATCGATGTTGTTGTTGATCCAGTCATCTAGCAGAGTATAGATGATAACCACTGATTATTATAGACAGTCAAGTGGAACGCTAGCAGGCCCGCAACCTGTAGGTGTTTGTGAACGATGTGTTCACTGGTGTACTCTATCCCCCTCATGGTTGCCTTACGGACATTTATTGTTGAGGAAACCCCTTAGCAGTAGTGTCCCTCCCGATGATAATCCTTAGGCTAGATCCCTTACGATAGGTGTATTAGGGACGTAAAATGAGGATAACGGGAATGGGTAATCGGGTTATTGTTGGTTGATGAAATTAATAAACTTATTTATTGCCAGTTGAAAACCCTATGTGCTCACCAGGCTCCCAAGCCTGACCCACTCAATTTTCTCATATACAGGTAGTGGAAAGAGAGCACATGAGTGATGATCTGATGAGAGATCAATGGATTATAGGCTACTAGAATAAATAGATATTATAATGCATATGTTGTTTATGTTTATGTTTTTGATCTGTATTAACAATGATATCCCAAAGTTTTTAATATAATACATTTCTATGGAAATGCTTTGATAAATTCTTTTTCATATATTTTTTTTGGGAAAAAATTCGACATTATATTTCTTTAAAAATATACTCTAATTTTTAAATAAAGCATAAATAAATCGGTCTTTTCTATCCGTGAATTTGGGGATGTCACAGTACGCCCCGCATACGGAACTCCTCATTATAAATCACAAGGACCCAATGGTCCAAGCCCAAACCAATTCAATGCATTAAATATAAATCACACCTTTTAAATCCTAGATTTATAGGTATGATAAACTTTCATCAACTCTCATTACTAAAGGTTTTTCAAGATCTCAAAATGATCATTAATTATTCATCAAAAAGGTCAACTCTTCAATGATCATAGTGGCAATCTATATGGATGATATCCTTATTATAAGTGATAACAATGAAGAAATAGTTATTCAAGGATTTTTAGACAATCAATTTAAGATTAAAGACCTTGGCACAATCAATTTTTTCTTGTGATTGGAGTTTAGGTAAAATATGGCATGGTAATTCACCAACACAAGTTCATAAAAGAGTTATTAGAATCTTATTTGTCTCAAGATGACAAAATAACTCTTTCACCATTACCAAGCAAATTAAAGTCTCTTTATCTTGATTCTTCACCTTTACCTGATCCAACCATATACAAACAACTTGTAGGAAAATTGAATTTTCTTTTGCATACTCGGCCATATATAACATTCACTACTCAGTTTCTAAGTCAATTCAACAGTAAGCCCTGTCAAGTTCATCTAGATGCAGCTATTTATGTTCTTAAATACTTGAAAGGGGCGATGAATCAAGGCATTTTTCTTAACAACACAAATAACTTCAAGATTGAAAATTTATGTGATTCGGGTTGGGCTGCTTGCCCTTCTACAAGATATGTTGGTGGCTAATTTATCACAATGGGAAGTCGTCCTATCTCATGGAAGTCGAAAAAGCAAGCAACTATTTCATTGTCATCAGCAGAAGCTGAATACAGATCGATGCGTAAAGTATGTTCTGAACTTGCATGCATGTTGAGTTCAATGTCTCTAAAATCACTCCTATACCATTGAAGTGTGACAACATGGCTGCTATACATATTGCTAAAAATCTTGTTTTTCACGAACGCACCAAACATATTGACATTGATTGTCATTTTGTTCGTGAGAAACTTCAAGATGGCCTCATTTCATTATCTCATATTCCAACTACTGCACAGTCAGCTGATATCCTTACAAAGTCAATGTCTGAAAATAATCATATAAATGTAGCATCCAAGCTTGGTCTCTTTACATATCCTCCGGCTCAAAAAAAAAAAAAAAGGGGGGGGGGTATTGGAATAAGAAGTCAACATCATAGATGACTTTATCAATTAGTAATGGTTGTAACGGATTATGTTAGAATTAGATGTAGCAGTTAGATTTCTCTTCTGTATATATATATATATATATATATATATATGTGTGTGTGTGTGTGTGTGTGTGTGTGTGTGTTCATTGAATTATTGAAATAAAATGGAGAATTATTTTCACAACCTTTTCTCTCTCATTCTCAATCTGTTCTACAATTGTCAATTGTTGATCATAAAATAAGCTTCCCCAACACGCATCAGCTCTATGGATATATACAAACAAATAGGCATCGTAATCATTGACATAAAAAAAAGAATATTTACATCCCGAACTTGTAATAGTTGTAATTCTGCCATTCTTGCTTTGAGTAATCTTATACTTTCAAAATTAAAACATATGGTGATTGATGTTCTCAAAATTGAAAGCTTTGAAGCTCATGAGACAAAAAGCAAACATATAATCAAAAGCTGCCAAAAAATAATCAAAATGATATAGAATTACAAACCAATGCTTAACGCTAGCTTTGATTTTTGAAATGAAGGAAGGATTGTAAAGAATGCGATGACATTATACCTCTAGGCATTAAAGAACTTGAAAGTAGGGAGATACATCGTATGAAAAAAGATGGAAGAGGCAGAGTGGGGCTTGGTTAGTTGTTTCTTTACTGAATAGAATCTAAAAGAAATTTTGGGAGCGGGAAGCGCCTAAAGAATTCGATCATTAAAAGAAATACAACATTAAAAATGGGAGTGGTTGAACTTTGAAGAAGCGAAATCTTCAATAAAAATAAATAAATAATAAAAAATAAAAACCCCACGAAAATCATTGGAGGAGAAAATAAGGGGGTCATCGTAGAAAAAGAAAACTAGAAAGTAGGGGTGCAAACGAATCAAATTACTCGTGAGTTATTCAAGATCGACTCATTAAAAGCTCGATTCGAAACCGATTTTAAACGATTAATATTAAGCTTGTTTATTAAACGAATTCGAGCTCGAGCCTATATATAATATAATTTATTATATTTTTATATATTAAAATAAAAACTATTTGAAGAATTAGAGATTTAAGGTATTAATAAACGAGCTTCTTGACGACCTTGAATCGAACTTAAGCTTAATTAGGCATGGTAGACGAAAAACAAGCCGGGCTTGTATAATTATTTACAAGCTTGAGCCGAGTTCGGTACAAGAAATCTCGAATTGAACCGAGTACTCGAGCTTCGTATAATTAAACAAGCCCTAGCCGAGCCTGACCAGGCTCAGGCTTGGGCTTGACTCGGCTTGGATCGTTTGCAACCCTATTCATGAGAACATGGAAGTGATGAAGAGGAAGGGGAACAATGGAGCTTATCACATATCCCTCCTTCTAAAACGTGTCATATAGAATCCATGAGTGAGCTATCCCAATCTCTTAAAATATGGCTTTTGTGAACACCTACCTAGGGATGTGCTTAGGGCCGGAACCAACCCGAATCGGACAAGATCTGAATAACCCGAATTGGATGAAAAGTTAAGACCGAAACTGAACTGCTTATACTAATACGGGGCCGGTTCGATTCGGTTCGGGTGATACAGGTTTTGATTCGGCTTTTGAATCGAAATGACCCAAATAACCCAAATAAACCAAAATGACCTGAATAACCCAAATAAGAAAATTATATATAGAAACATCCAAATTAGAATTATGAATCTTAAGTTTTTTTTCCAAAATAACAATTACCAAATACAAATTAATTATACAAGAATATTAATTGGTTGTTTTCTCTTTCCACCTCCATTGTTTATCGCGTTTTTCAATTCTTTCGCGACATTATCTTCTTTCAAAAATTCATCAATGTTATCCACAATTGGTACGTCAATACGCAATACACAAGAGCCAAGAGGTATCGATCAAGTGACTATTCAAATTATGGGTCGGTCCTTTTGACCCGATAAAACCTTTATTCGGGTAACTCGGACCGAATAACCCGATAACCGAATTGGGCTAAAATAGATACCCAAGAACCGACCTAGATAACTTATCTGGTTCTAATTCGGGTCAGTCCGTTTTGGGTTTCGGTTTCGATTCGGGTACTCGGTCCAAATACACATCCCTACACTTACCGATAAAGTTTGAGAACAAGTGATCGTATACCGGTGGCACGGAATCCAACTAAATGGACATAATGGTGAGGTTACTTTCTTTGCAGCATAAAAATTATGCCCAATCGATTCTTATGATCACGAGATTTAGCCTAACAGGTAAGTTTAAAGGAGCCCGAGCATACAACATAGCCCAAAAATAAAAAAATAATTCTGGACTATCGAGATCCAAAACCTAAACCCGACTGTCATAAGTGAAATCGACTCACAATTGCCTTTATGTCGTACTGGAAGCCTAGAAAATCCCACAAAAATCCCTAAAAAGTCCTCAAAATTCTACAAAAATTAACATAATTCCTCAAGTTACCCACCACCCACTTTTCTCAAAATCTACAACGTAAGGCTTCTATATATACATAAGATAAGAGATAATATGTATATCATATCAGCTACTTTCACTCTTGTTCATTCTTTGATTCTAACATCCAAAACACATGGGTTTGGCATACCAATTGTACAAACTTAGTCTAGTCGCATTGGGGAAATATTTGATCTTTAAACCCCATGCATGGCCGACAACCGATGGTTTTTCTAATCCTTCAATAGATTCAAAAATCTTCATCATCCCATTCCCATATATCGCTTCATTATGTTTCCTTCCACGCCGTTAATTTAACAAACTTTGGTTGTTTTCGTTATCTTTATCATTATCATGAACCCTGGTTTGATTCCCCTGATTGTATATCTATATTTTTTTTCCAATTCCCTCATCGACACCGTGGCTCAGCCGGTCCTCGCCGGCCCGCCTCCATTAGCTTTAAACTGCGGCTCAAAAGACGGTGGCAATGATGCTGATAATCGCAAATGGGAATCAGATACTAAATATCTGGTGGCCGCCGACAAATCAGTTTCATCAACCGCCTTAACACAGGAGGCGTCGCTTTCCTCAAACGTACCCTACATGACCGCCAGGATCTTCAATGGAGAAACCTCGTACAAATTCAAAGTTAATTCCACCAGTCGATACATCATTCGACTCCATTTTTATCCTTCCAACTACCCTGATTACAACATTTCCAATTCCTATTCCGTCGTCACCACAGGTGCAATTACGTTATTGAGAAATTTCAGTGCCTTCATAACAGCGGAAGCTCTTTCACAAGCCTACCTAATCAGGGAATACTCGCTAGCGGCTTTTAGTTCCGATTCAATCACCCTCACGTTCAAACCCGGAGCCGATAAGTCTTTTGCGTTTGTTAACGGAATTGAACTGATAACAGAGCCGGAACTATTCGACGATCAGGCGGGGTTAGTCGGGGTAGCAGATACTGCTGGCACCATCGACGGTGTATCCTCAAATATGCAGAACATGTTCAGGTTGAATGTTGGCGGACAATTCATTCCTCCAACGAATGATTCCGGTGGTCTGATGAGGAGTTGGTATGATGATACACCTTATATGTTTGGTGCCGGTACCATCAGTCACGTAGGAAACGTTACAATTGATTACAAAGACCTTCCGGAGGCCACAGCTCCGGCAGACGTTTATCGGACGGCAAGATCTCAAGGACCAGATCCCAATATCAATAAACAAAGCAATGTGACATGGGTGTTTCAGGTTGATGCCAATTTTACTTATCTTGTTAGGTTCCATTTTTGTGAATACCATCTTGATAAAATTAACCAGAGGGTTTTCGAGATAAAGTTGAACAATGAAACCGCGTTTAACACCGCCGATATTATTGCGTGGACTGGAGGAAAAGGGATTCCAACGAGAAAAGATTATGCGGTTTATATTGGCAATAAGCCTGGCATCGACGCTGAATTGTGGGTGACTCTGCATACTAACATTGATTTGAAGCCTGAATTTTATGATATTCTTTTAAACGGGTTGGAGGTTTTTAAACTGAGTGACTCGCAATCAAACCTCGCCGGACGGAATCCTGTTCCATCTAAAATGATGCAGAAACAGTTGATCGAGAATCGAGCAGCTCATGACCCGAATAGAAAATGTAGCAAGCAGGTTATAGTTGGTGGTGCTGTTGGTGGAGCCGCAACAGTCGGGGTTGCAGCGGTGGTGTTATTCATGATTCGCAAGAGAAGAAGAAGAGTGTCGGGATCGGATCCAGGTGCCACTAGTTGGCTTCCGGTATACGGTAACTCAGCTAGCAAATCAACTACATCCGGGAAGAGCCATGGAAGTAGTAGTTTGTCAACAGATGCCGTCTGTAATTGCCGATATTTCTCATTGATGGAGATCAAACGGGCGACTAATAATTTCGACGAGAGTAAAGTGGTCGGAGTAGGGGGTTTCGGAAAGGTTTACAAAGGTGTGGTCGACGGCAACATAATGGTGGCTGTGAAAAGATCAAACCCATCTTCGGAACAAGGAGTTAACGAATTTGTGACTGAGATCGAGATGCTATCCAAGTTGAGACACCGGCATTTGGTTTCCTTAATTGGATTCTGCGAAGAAGGGAACGAAATGGTGTTGGTTTATGATTACATGGGCAAAGGAACGTTACGAGAACATCTTTACAAAGGCAACAAGATTACGCTTTCATGGAAACAAAGATTGGATATTTTGATTGGGGCTGCAAAAGGACTTCATTATCTTCACACCGGAGCAAAGTACACAATCATTCATAGAGACGTCAAGACGACAAACATTCTGTGTGACGATAAGTGGGTGGCGAAAGTGTCGGACTTCGGGCTATCGAAGACGGGTCCAAACATGACGCAGAACCATGTTAGCACCGTTGTGAAGGGCAGTTTTGGGTATTTGGATCCAGAATATTTTCGACGGCAACAGTTGACGGAGAAATCAGATGTTTATTCGTTCGGTGTTGTTCTTTTTGAGGTGCTGTGTGCGCGTCCAGCCCTGAACCCTAGTCTTCCAAAAGAACAGGTGAGTCTAGCGGATTACGCGTTGCAATCGGCGAGGAAAGGGACGTTGGAGGAGATGGTGGATCCCCAATTGAAAGGGAAGATTAAGCCGGAGGCGTTCAAGAAGTTTACCGATTGCTCGTTAAAGTGTTTGTCGGACCACGGGCTGGAACGACCGTCGATGGGAGATGTGTTGTGGACTCTGGAGTCTGTGCATCGGATTGAAACCAAGGCAGAAGAAACAAGAAATAGTCCCAAATCATCGTCGTCTTCAAGTGGGATGGTGGAAGTGCCGATTGATAACAGTGACATGATTGCTATGCATCTTAACACTCTAAATCTTGATAACGATGATGACGACGACTACGACGACCACGAGGATGATGCTGCCATCTTTTCGCAGATTATAAATCCAAAAGGACGGTGATAGTAATAATAATCGAGGAGAGAAACAAGTTGATTTTGTAAGATCGACGTTCGCACTTGCCCATGGGGAAACCTTAACCCAAGAATTGGGAATGTAAATGAGAATTACTAAAAGCCCAAAAAATGGCGTTTCTTTGGATCGATCTCGAAAGATTCAGGGCGTAAAACTGACGTGATAACCGGTAACCATCTTAACACGGCAACTATTTTTGGCGGAGTTTATTGTAAAATCGCTATGAAGTGTAGAGTATAGTATGCTTTTTATTTTTGAAATATTGTTGTAATCTTGAAAAGTTTCGCCTTTGTTTGTGAGGAAAGCCAAATCATACATCCAACCCAAAAAGAATTTTTATTTCATGAAACTGTCGACAATGGCATGCATATAACAATATTGGTAAAAAGAGTTTAACATAACAATATCGTAAACAAACAAAAAAAAAAAAGTATATTATATGAATCCTACGTGACATCAACGAATTTAAAATAGAAACCATATGGTTCCCTAAAGAGCTTCAACCGTATCATGAACAGTTCATGAGAAAACAAAGTTCAACAAGATTGGTCTAACAAGAATAATAAATAGGCCAACATGTATAAAAATCAGTTGTAAAAGGAACTACTTTAATTTGGTCTTTACTATTTTTTTTTTCTTTTTATTAAAACAAATGTAAACTTAAATAGAGACGATCATATCTAAGTCTAAATAAGTTTCATGGTATAGAAAAGAGACAACTATTTATCATAAAAAACCTATCATTATTTTTTTTCAGAATCTATATTAAGATTATTTCGTACCATTATATATGTTATTTTCTTTTCAGAGTCTATGTTGAGATTATATAAGTCTTTTATTGTTTATAATAAATACTTCTCGTTTCCTTCAAATTTTAATGAACTGTTTTGTATTAATTTCTAATACAATTTATAAAATTATGTGGGTCATGGATCTCATCCTCCCTTTGCATAAATTCACCCATTAACACATGATTGGAGTTGTTGCATTTTGGTGTTAATTTGTTTTTAATCTAACTGTATATTTTTGTTGTGGTTTTGGTTAATGCTATACATGACATGACTATATCGTCTCTATCAAAAGAATTGGTTTTACCATACAAAAAGATTTAGCGGCGCAACTTGTTGCTCGTTTGATTTCTCATTTGTTGTACGATTATAACTAAGATGTATTAATTAACTATTTGATAATTATTTAAACAACAATAGAAAATTTATTAATGAACCAAAAACGAAATGGGCTCTGGACAACATAGAAAACAGATGGAAAAAGAAACCGTAAATCATTAGACCTGTTATGTGCTTAATGATCTAAGACAATATTTTAAGTTTCTTCCAAGTCTTCAACTATGACATTATGGGGTTTAATAATCTAGACAGTTAATACGTAGTAGTTAATAACAATAAAATTTGTAGACTGAGGGCAAAATCGTCAAAGTTTGTAGACTCCAATATTAGGAACAAAGCTTTTCTTCAAGCAATGACCAAGGGAATCAACTTCAGAAGGGCAAAATCATCCAAGTTAAAAGTTTGAACTAATATAAAACCAGACTCCACATTAGTTCAGAACTAAACTGATACTATTCAGCTTGATGACCAGGGGCTGCATCAACAAGGGCACAATCGTTGAAATGAAGGTTAAAAAACAAATAAAAATCATTGATGTACAATCAAGGGCAAAACCGATCAAATCAAGGCTAAAATTACAATTACATCTCCCAGACAAGTCTTTCTTTAAGAAACCCAACATCCACCTTGATGAACATGGGCAAAATGAGTGCCAAACTTGAGAATACATTTCTATTTCCAGCAGCATCCATATCCATATGATACACCCATTTAAACCGCTTCAGTGAGCCATATTCCTTTTTGGTTATTCTAATGTGATACTTGTCAACATTTGATATGGTAGGAGGAAAAGTAGCAACAAATGGTAGGAGGAGGATATTTAATTTCTCTTAATTTAAACTCTCCCTTATTTCTGTGCTAAAGTTTTGAAGCTCGCACTCATTATTTGTTTTTATTCTTTTTTGTTGGTTCAAACATTACATATCAATGAATACTTGTGTCGAGAGCTTTTGCTTGCTAATTAAACACAAAGTAAGGTTAGATTCAATCTTTAATTAAATGCAGTAACTGATAAAATGGAAGAAGAAATAACATGAATTTTGGTTTTTCTCATGATCATTGACAACTCACTCATGATTGTTAAAATACAGAAGAAGAGACGGAGTAAATAATTCTTAGCAAAAAAAAAAAACTCTCCTAACAATTACAATTACAATTACGTATGTAAAAACATAGTGTTACTACTGTACAGTGAAACCAATACACTAATACCCGTCTGTGAGCCCATTCCCTGTTTCCATTATACAGAAACACAGGTCGAGGTCAAATCTTTCTCACGAGGAATGGATAGGAAAGCAGAAAGCTTCAGCAAGCAATTAAGCATTTTCCCCCAAGCCGGGTCCCGGTCCCAAACCCAAACCCAAATTGACCAAAATCATCTTCATCTTCCTTCATGAAGGTCTTCCGAAAAGAGGGCTGTTCTGGATATGTTATCATGATCAAAGGCACTTAGACCAGAGTAAGGACCGGAGGAGAATATAGAAGACGTCCCGTCTGATTCAAATGTAGTGGATGATTGCTTCTGAGTGGCAGTGGCCGCGGGTCCCACGTCCTGATACTCCGTGACACGCTGCACCATTTTCAGCGACTGTACAACTTCCCCCATGGTGGGGCGTTGGTTTGCTTCTGGGGCCACACAAGCTGCTGCGATCGTACAAACCCTAGCCAGATCTTCAATCGGGTACTTTCCCCCAAGCTTCGGATCTGCAACTTCTTCCAATCGCTCCTTATCTCTTAGAATTGGCCGAGCCTACATTGCATTGTTTATTTATTTATTTATTTTTTAAATTTTTTTTAAAAAAATCAAAACTGACCCAAGAGACCAGGTTCTCCTGTCCGGATGGTTGGCTCATCTCCACAGGCTTCCTTCCCGTTAACAACTCAAGCAGGACCACCCCATAGCTGTACACGTCGCTCTTCACCAGCAGATGTCCAGTCATGGCATATTCAGGAGCCACATACCTGTAATGTAAATCAACTACTATATTAACATAATCTTGTTTCTTGTAAGGTGAAAGCTGAAAACAAAGATTAAATACGAACCCAAATGTGCCCATAACACGAGTAGACAAATAGGTTGCTCTGCCCTCTGGGGCCTGTTTAGCTAGCCCAAAGTCTGCAACTTTAGCATGGAAGTTGTTCTCCAGTAAGATATTAGAAGCCTTGAAATCTCTGTGGATCACACAAGGCTGTGAATCCTCATGAAGATATGCCAGTCCCCTTGCAGCATCAAGGGCAATCTTCATCCTCGTATCCCAATCCAAGGGACAGTTCAACCCTAGTGGGCCTGTAAGCGTAATTAGCTCCATTTATAACTAATAAGAAAGAAGAAAGAAGGAAGTTAAAGTAAGTTACCATGGAGCCAAGCCTCCAAGCTTCCATTTGGAACAAGCTCATAGCAAAGAAGATTTTCAGAAGAATCACGGTTGCTGTGGTAACCAACAAGCTTCACAAGGTTGCGATGATGCAACCTACTGAGCATCTCAACTTCTACCAAAAATTCCTTATCCCCTTGTTGCCCTCCACTAGAAAGCCTCTTTATTGCCACCTGTGTGCCATCACTTAACACACCTTTAAAAACTCTTCCAAAACCACCCTCACCAAGTATACTTGAATCTTCAAAGTTATTAGTCGCTTCTTTTAGTTCTTCATATGCAAGAAATCTTGTACTCGTAGGATGCGGAAAAGATCCTCCTTCCCTTGGCTTAGCTGCTGCTGCTGCTGCTAACAACAACAACAAACGACTCATAAATATATTCATTCATTCATAACACATAAATCATCATCATACCAGTTTCTTTTGGTGATGCTTCTGGTTTTCGTCTACGTGAAGCACATGAACAAAGTATAAGCACAGAAATTACAGCAACAGAAAGGATTCCAGCAGCAATGCCAACAAGAAGCATCAAGCTCAGGTGCTTTCCACGACCAGAAGAAGAATTATTGGCTGATGTTGGAGTTGAAGGCAATGAAGGAGGCGACTTTGTGGGTGATGTAGCTATGTGAGGTGCTGCATGTATATGTATATCATCATAACACCCACCGTGTTATAAACATGCAAAATTATGAGAAAAATAAGTTACCTGGAGCAGGAGCAAGAGGCTTGAAATAGGTTAAGTTGAGAAGCTGGTAACCACCCACGAGCCTGGGGTCTAGATGAACCTTGTGTGTAGAAAGTGAAGAGTTTATTTCAGAAGCTTCTGTGGAATTAAAACTGATTCCAGTATGTGGAGTTATGTCCATTGAAATGTTAAGTCTTGATAAGCTCAGCAAATAAAAGTTGATTAGCTCAATCTGAGACACCCTGAGCCCAAGTTGAGTAGCAAACTGCTGAAGAAATAGATTCCAATTCGGGTTAGATGACACATTCAACAGGAGAATGTCAAGTTTTATCGGATACACACAGTGGCATCCCTCCATGTCCCGTTTCAGTACAGTTTCAGGTCCACAACAGTCTGCCAAATACAAACACAGTCCATACGTATCAATTCTTTAAAAAAGAAAAATATATATATATATATATATTTTTTTTATTTAAATGAGTAAAAAAAAAAAAAAAAGGTATCTTACTGGAGGAATGAGGAGACAATGGTGGCTGGGCTAAGCCAGTAGGTAATGTACCAGCACCAGATTGAGACTGAGCAGGAGCAATATCTGCTAAGCGTGGAGGTGTAAGCATGGTGGCAGGAGGCAGTGTTTCGCTTTTCCTGATTGAAGGTTTTGAGATTGAAGTTGAAGGAGGCTGAGTCGAAGCTATGAATGCTCCATAGTTAGGTGGCTGAGCTGGTGATAGCACGAGCTTTGGTGCACCAAGGGGGGAAAGACGTCTCCTGTGTTGATGTTGTTTCTGGAACAATGGAAGACTGACTGGCAGGGGTAGATCAGGGATTTCATTAGTGGGTGGAGATAAAATTTGTGCCCCCGTTTGGGTTTGGTTGTCAGTGAAATCAGCGTTGGCAGTGCATATGATGATGATAAATGGAATAAGCAGCTGTTTCACCAAGGGCCAATGCGAATGCTTTTTCTTTACTGATCCTGCAACGCAATTTAGATAACGGAAAATTGTGTTGGTTAAAAGAAGCAAGCATACAAAATTTAAATCATAATTCTTGAATGAATGTTTGTTTATTTATACAAGATTAGCAAATATCTGTGTACAATTGGTTGGGGGTTAACCTAGGGGTCCTTGATTCGAATGTTTCCCTTGAAAATAAGGTTTATGCCCTAACTTAATTAACTGGAATCAACAAGTTACATCAACACAGGTGGGGATTGGGATTGCACATTATAGATAAAAACCTAATCTTCAAATCATAAGTGGATTAGAAAACAAAAGGACCGAAACTAAAATTAACACATGAAGCGAATTGAGAAGTAAGTAGAAGCGCACCAGTGCAGTTAGAAACAGCAATCGACTTTATAGCTTCAGACATCACCGGCGCCGACGGACATGAAGGGTTCAGATCTACAAGATTCAGTCAAAGGGTCAGCTAGATCACTTGCTAAGAACACGGGCAATGCCCACAAGCCATTGAATGAGCAGGATTGGCGTAGATACCAGCTGAATCGGAGCTAAGAAAAAAAATTGGGACTTTCAGATTTAAAGCACCTTCACCTTCTCCGACAGGTGAATTGTAACGAAGAGAACTCAACACATGGATGGAATGGAATGAAGAAAACATAAAACAGCTAAGCGAAATATAGAATTGTGAATCTTTTGGCAAGAAATACGGAGATATCGTTGGCTTCACCCAGCCATCAAAACTGAGAAAAGAAGCTTTCGAATTACTACAAAATAAATTTGGTCTCTTTTTTCTCGTGCAAGGTGTTTTTGGGTATATATGCCTTCGTCTAACGTGCGCCATTAACGGAAAAGTAGACCACTATATAACGGTTAAAAGCCATCACCGTCAATCTCGTCACCGTCCAAGTGTAAATTGACATCATCATTCAATAGTTGTAAGAATTAAGAAGACGGGCAGTTGGATAATGCCCAGATGTGATCCTCAATCTCATCCCCACTCAATTAATCATTACAAAAACAAAAAATAATAATAATAACCAAAAAAAAAAAAAAAAATAGAGATTACTAATAGTCACCATTTTCACACAAAGCAATGAAGCATCGGTAAGATCGTTTTGTGATTTTCGTAATGGGCATGGAAATGTCATCTTTAAAAATGATGGGTCTCGCATATTAAAAGACTAAAAGTATAGATTTATTTTTCGGTCTTTTTTTTTAATTTTACAAAAGAAAAGAATTGAAAATGCTCTTAAAAAATAGCAACCTCATCGCTCCACCACATTTTGGATGTGTATTTTAATACCGATCGGTTGGTTTAGAGGTTTATACAAGCAATGCTTTCATACAATTATTTTATGGTCTATTTAATTACTATGGATACATGCAAATGACAATTCTCAGAGACAAGACCATACAATCGGGGAGGAAAATCAACACTAGTATGATCTCCACCTCTTGTTAGCCACGATCACTTTGTCTCCTTCAAAAGAAATGTGGGTTTGGTCGTTAACGGATACGTGTGAGTTCTCGGTTGTTTCAGTTCGTGTTTTTATCGATAAACACATCATTCAATGTTCCGACACCCTTACATTGTGGAATATGTCGATGCCTATTTAAGCTAATATTTTGGTGTGACGTTTGATTATAAATAAGATTGCTTCTAGAGTTAATCTTGCAGATAGAGGTTTAGATAATTCCCTAGATTCTTTGCCCGTTTTGTGAAGCTAGCGTTGAGATGGTTAGCCACTTGTTTTTTAGATGTATTATTGTTTCAAAGTTGAGCCCTTAAACTGAGAGATGGTGGGGTGGACGGGTCGATGACTACCATTGGTTATTGTAACATCGTACTTTTAGGGATAGAAAATTTTCGCTTTAATATAATAAATAAATAATAATAACAAAATTAATAAAGCAAAAATCATATTATTGATTAATATTTATCAACAAGAGGGAATAAAAGTTAACTTGAACACGTTTAGTAAATAAGGCTTAAAATTGACAAAATTGTGAAAGTTGAGTTTGACAAGAGTTACTCAATTAAGTGGGGTTTGGGACTAAATAATATCATAGGAATGGTGAAGAATGACTAAATGTGTAAATAACAAAGGTCTAGTTGCAAGATTTGGCGGATTATGGTCAAATTGCATAAACTAGATGTTTGGTGGCCAATTTAGGATAAGAGAAACTTGTATTAAGACCCTAACTATCCATTCTCCATCGCATTTCATCTTTATCACATATTGGGAGCTAAAGGAGAGAATGATGGGCGTTTTGAAGGTCTTCATTCATGAAGCTTGGAATCAAGGAGTTTACAATCATATCAAATCCAAATTTGAAGTTTCCTAGTGATTGCAAGATACATTTTATAACAACCCAAATTCTCGTCCGTCATCAATGTTAACTTTCGTTATTTGATTATTAATTTTCGTAAGTAATTTCAGCTTTTATGATCATAAATTCAAATAAATTAAAGACAAAATTGCAAAAATAGTCCCAAAAGTAGGCGTTTTTTTGGCTTTTCGTCCAAATCTTGACTTTTTTGGCTTCGTGACCCTTTTTACCAATGTTTCTATGTGGAAATGGTCCCTCCGAAAATTAAATTGACTATTATACCTTTTTTATTTTTATTTTTATATTTTTCGATATCTATTTTAATAATTAAAACAATATAATGGGCCTCTCTCTCTCTCTCTCTCTCTCTCTCTCTCTCTCAACAATGTATACTTACAGCTTTGAGAGTTGTACCACCAAATCCCTCCAGTTTGTAAAGGAAGAGCATGTTCTTTGGTTTGTGTAACGCCCCGATTCTCAGGTATTGTTTAAATAAGATTTATTGGGTTAAGCTCTACTCGACGAGTTGGTTGACCTACTCGTCGAGTAGCGGCGGGGTGGGATCGCGTGTTAAGTGACCTACTCGACGAGTCCATATTGGGACTCGGCGAGTAGGAGCTGGCAGATGAAACCCTAAATTTCAGGGTTTGCACCTCTATTTAAAGGAGTCTTAGCCTCTTTTGGTCTCTTTGCATTCTTTGAGAGCCCCTTAAAACCCTAATACGTGTGTGTGTGTGTGCCTATTGTGTGTTTGAAGCTTGAAAATATGATCTTTTGAGGGAGAAGACTTGGAGGAGAAGGAGATTGGAGCAAGTAGAGTGTGGGAATCAACTCTTATCTCAGTTATCATCTTCTGGAGGCAACCACATCGCCTTTTTCCTTGTGAATCTCTTCTATTGGTTGAGTTTTAGGGTTTTTGGTGAGATAATAAGTTGGAAAGATGAGCTATGAGCTAGATATGAGGTTGTAACTTCAGATCTGGACCCTCCTTGGCTCTAGAAGCATAAAGTTTCTGTTTTGGTCATGATTAAGGTCCCTCTTGAGCATGAAGTTCCATTAAGAACTTAAAAATAGGCATTTAGAGCCTTTATAGCCATGCATGCACGTAAAGTTTGCAACTTTACGTGAAAAGCATGCCCTAGTAGCTTGGATCTGTATGGAAAAAGGATTGAATGGACTCGATGAGTCACATGAAGATGACCGTGAACTCGACGAGTTGGATGAACAACTCAGCGATTCCGATGAAGATTACCATAAGACTCGGCGAGTCTTATGAGATTTCCCTAAAATATGTATGCATGTGTATCCGTCGAGTTGCAAGGAGGGAACTCGATGGGTGGCCTTAAGCTTGAACGAGAATCGAAGGAACTCGACGAGTCACCCCGATGACTCGGCGATTTTGATTGTACTTCAAGGAACTCGGCGAGTAACCAAGGGTACTCGACGAGTTGGGGTCAACATGGACTGTTGACCTTGACTGAGGACTTTGACCTTGATCAGGGGTAGTCTAGTGGGTTATGGAGTACCTTAAAAGGTTAAGGACTTACAAGTATATTGTATTGTAATAATAGGTTGTGGAGCCGATATCAAGTGATCCGAGAGTTGGAGTTTACCTTCCGAGTCGACATCTGCAAGGTGAGTTATCATCATTATATCGAAGGGTTCTACGGCACCAAGGTCGGCCCTTTAGTTGTTACTGTTATAGTATGCTATATGTGGTTATGATCTGTTAGATCGAAATCAGGGTAGATAGTATGTTATGCTCTTATGATCCGTAAGGATTGGTATGTCAGTGACCTGCTAGGTTGGTACTCTAGTTGAGAGAGAATTCTATGATTGATGACCAATGATAGATATGCTTAATGTTACATATTCCAGTATATGATAGTTATGCGCAAATAGTATTTTCTTGTTGGTTGGGTTAAGGCAGTCCTTCTTTGTGCGGTAGGCCAACACACCCTATGAGCGGTCCGGGGAGACTGTAGGCCCACGTGGCGGACCAGTCATGTCAAAGGCTCGGGATAGATCTAGATAGATTGTAGGCCCTGTAGGTCATACCAGTCATGTCGATGGCCCAGTATGAATGTTGATTGATTAATTATTATTGATATGGTATTGTCAGTGTGGTATTGGTATTTTGGTGGTAGCTCACTAAGCCCTCGGGCTTACAGTTTTCAGTTTATTGTTTCAGGTACTTTAGGAGATCATGGCAAGGCGAAGGCGTGACCGTACCGCTCCTCATCCTTATGTTATGATTTTGGGACACTCTGATGGATATTGATTTGAAAACATTTTTGTAAACAATGCTATTTGGTTTTTATTTACGATTTAAAAGTTTAAATTTGGTGTAAAACTTATCGATGTTACAGTTTTTTCATCCTTTATTGTCTTTTTCTACCCCTACAACCCTTTCGTATTCACAAAATACATGCCTATATATGTGTAACATCCCTTGCTGGCACGTATCACAATATTGTCTGCTTTAGGCTCCCGATACGAAAACTTCCCACTAAGTCACCCATCCTTGGATTGCTCTCTCCCAGGCATGCTTAACTACAGAGTTCTTATGGGATCTGTTGCCCTCACTATAACATCCGAATTCTCAGGTATATTATTTTATTCATTTATTTTGGAGTTTGTGGAGGGACTCGGTGAGTTGGTACTCGAGATTTTCGGCGTTGAGTTTTTGATTGATCTAGTTCCTATCGCGATGGGTGACGTCTGTGTCATAGTGGGCATGGAATGGTTAAGCAAATTTGGAGCAGTTATCAACTGCGAGAGACAACTGGTGATCATACATTACCCTAGTGGGGAGTTCTGACAGTATACGGCGAGGGAACGCGTTCTGGGTCGACATTTTGTTCAGCCGCTAGAGCGAGGCAGAGTCTACAGCAGGGCTGTAAGGGATTTGTAGCGTATGTGATGGATACCAGGGTTGATTCAAAGAGACCGAGGTCAGTAAATGAGGTTCCGATAGTGCGTGAGTTCCCGAATGTATTTCCGGAAGAGTTACCGGGTGTGCCTCCCGAGAGGCAGGTTGAGTTCAGCATCGATTTGGTTTCGGGGGTTGCGCCCTATCGCCTTGCGCCTCCAGAGATGCAGGAGTTATCCTCACAAATTTAGGAGCTGCTGGGAAAGGGGTTTATTCGGCCGAGCAGTTCGTCGTGGGGAGAACCTATCCTTTTTGTTATGAAAAAAGGATGGCTCACACCGGATGTGCATTGATTACAGGGAATTGAACAAGCTGACGGTTAAGAACCGTTACCCGTTACCGAGGATTGACGATTTGTTCGATCAGTTGCAGGGAGTATCTTGGTTCTCCAAGATCGATTTGAGGTCGGGATATCATCAGGTGAGGGTGCGAGATGAGGACATCCAAAAGACAACGTTCATAACTCGTTACGGGCATTACGAGTTCGTGGTGATGCCTTTCGGGCTCACCAATTCACCGACGGTGTTCATGGATCTCATGAACAGAGTGTCTAGGCCGATGTTGGATCGCTAGGTGATCGTGTTCATTGACGACATATTAGTGTATTCGAGATCCAGAGAGCAACATGAGGAGCATTTGAGAGAGATCATCGGAGTTTTGAGATCGGAGAGGCTTTATGCCAAATTCTCCAAGTGTGATTT